GGCAAATTACAACCTTTTTTTTGGTTTCGTTATGCTATATATGGCTTAACAAACAACTCTCTATTATCATAAAATTTTTCTTCTCAAATAATTCTCCTTCCATTCTTTTTTTTTTTGGTCAAACAATCGTATTTCATTCATTTAACTGATCAAAATACAAAGGAAGGGAATTAAGTATCCTCCAACATTAATACAACATAATAGAAACGCAATAAACATTAAAGCAGATAGATCATCCTAGAAGATGGACAGCGGATCCAAGTCATGCCTCGGATGTGTCAAAAGGATCTTCGCGGTAAAGCCGGAGAGTCTCAGGTTAGTCACTATCCAATGTGATTTTGAAGAACCCGACATAATGCTCGGGGATTCGACCACTCTCCAAGAGAGGGAAGAAGATACGACTATTCTCAAAGAGATGGAGGAAGGTGGAATTGGACTCTTCCACCGGGAGTAAATTACAGTGTTTGAGAACCCAGAAAACTTGTGCCTTCTCATAATAGAAGAGATATAATCACTAAAACCTACAGAATTTGAGAATCAAGAAAAATTTTGTACTTCTCAAAAAAAAGAAACCAACAAGCTCAAGAGCATATAAAATTTTTAAAAATCTGCATTTTAAACACATTGGGGATGGACCTATTAATCTCAAAAATTCAAACTTGATATTTCTCTTGGGCCAAGCCCAAGGCATTGTAAAAGGGCCTAGAAGCCCATTCTGAAAGTTCAACAGGCTGGGCTTTGAGAAGCCCATGATCTTTTCAGCCAGGCCCAACTACACACACAGCCCACAAATCCCACACAGACCACGACAGTGGGGCAGGCGGTTGTCGTTCATCTTTTTCGGTGAGCAGCGCCATGGAGGACCGATGGCATTAGCCACAACGGGATACACGATCTGTTTAAGTGAGATGGCCAACTTAAGGATGGTTTCAACCTTGGCCACGAGCAGATCTCGGCCGAGGAGGAGATATAGAAAATCGGAGGCGGCGGTGATTTTGTAGCCCAAGGAGCAGAGGTTGAAACCCTGGGCTGAGGGTTGGGTTCAGAAACAGGGTGAGGGAGCGAGGTGATAAGTCTTGCCGGTGAGGAATTCAGAGTCCATTCGATTTCTCTTCCGTAGAAGTCGAACTGTAGCTCCGGCGAAGGAGAAGATTTTGCCGTCGATGGAGCAAAACTCGAAGCCGGAGGCGGGGCTGGGGGTAGGGTAGTCTCCCTGTCGTTAAGGCCACGGCAAAGGTGGTGGTGGTGGCTTGAAAATCCGCCATCGACATTGCGCCATGAACTCCTCCTAGATCTCGTGCCGTTCAGGTCTAGGGTGGTTGTCGGCTGAGTTAGACGGTGATGGAAGAGGCTGAGCGAGCGCGATGGTGCAGACGATGCAGAGGTTAGGTCTGGCGGCTTAGGTGGAGGAGATGGCCTCGCCTAAGATTGCTCCTTCATCTCGAACTAACGAGAGGGGGGTGCGGAGGTCACAACGCAGATCCGAGCCCAAGGCTCAACTAAAGCCATCAAGGGGAGGGAGGGGGTTAGTTGGAGAGTTGGTTTCCTCCGGTGAAGAAGCACACCGGTGAAAGGCCAGTGAGAGGTCTTCCTAACGCAGGTTGGAAGAAGCAGAACGTTGGTCATTCGGAGATGGCGACGACGGGTCCTAGGGACCCGGGGCCAGAGAGCGTTCTCTCTAGGGCGAACTCATCCTATGATATGCTTCAAATGAATGAAAAAAAAATCTCCTTCCATTCTTCTATTTTATTAATCTGGTGAACAAATTTTGAAGATTGAACATACTTTCTCCTCTTCTTCTCCTTCTCCTCTTTGTGTGAATAAAAGTTTCACAAATCTATATCTCCTTCTATTCTTGTACTTCTTTATTTGGAAAAAAAAAAGTTTCAAGATTGAAATCTCTTTCTCCTCTTCTTCTCCTTCTCTTTGTGTGAATAAAAGTTTCACAAATCTAATCTATTTCTTTTCACACAAATATGRCATMTTCTTCAACTAATCCCTTTGAYGGATCCCTCGAGGAAACTTTTGAGGAAAC